CGGGCGTCGGCCTATAGAATGTGACAGAGCTTCGCGCCGCGCCGCCGCTCGCCCCTCGCCGCAGAAGGTCCTTTCGGCGGCCGGGCCAGTAACGCGGCCGACCCCGCCCCGGCGTGAGGAAATGGTTGCGCTGGCGCACACGTGCACCCGCGCCCGCGCGCCCGCGCGCCCGCGCGGCGCGGAGACGATCGCCCTGCCAGCTTGCGCGGTTGTCATCACTACTTTTGTCACTGTCGGGCGCGCGCCGCGGCGCGCTTGCCGCCAACGCGCGTTTGCCGCCGTCAGCGGGAGAGCGCCGGCTCTGCTCGTCGGCGCGCGCGTACACCGCGAGTAGTTAGTTCATGTCGGAGAGCGTGTAAATCCCATGCCCCAAGCCATGTCCCGTTGAATCATGCCATGTGTGTGACACCTGCGACCTGCGCGGTGTCTGAGAGATGCCCATGTCTTGCCTTTTATCTGTGCACACTTACGTCAGTACGTCCGTCTGCCGGTGTTGATACACTTGAGGTGTCGATCCCGTGTTCGGCCCGTGATGTGAGGTACACATGTATGTACAATGTAGAGGATCCTCTTTCGCTGTGACCTGTGTGTGTGTTGCACCTTTTTCGACCACCGCCGCACCTAGGGTTGCCTAACGTTAAGAGCTGAACAGTGTTGCTAGTGTTAACAGTAACAACAGAACAACAGTGGGGCCCCCCAACAACAGTAGCTAACGTTAGGCCGACTGAACAACAGTAAGGAAAGGCCTGGCAGTGACCCACGACGATCTCTAGTGTCCAGTGCGGGTAATACCCGAAATACCCGGAAAATCCCAGGTATTTTCGGGTTTTACCCGGGTTTTTTGCCATTTTCTGCTTGCTGACCACTGAACAACAGTAACAACAGTAACAAACAGTACGTAACCGAGCATGGGCTGGGGTGAACACTTGAACAACGTTGAGGATTTCAGCCAACACTAGCGCAACTGTTAGGCCCAAAGTTAACGTTAGGCAACCCTAGCCCGCACCGCCACCGGGGGGGCCCGCAACGCCAACGCGGGCCGGGGGGTGCGGGGAGACCCGTGGAGAGGGGCGTGAGCCGTGTCGCTGTCGGGACGGCGATCGGCGTGTCGAGCGTGTGCCCCGCCCCCGTGTGTGCTGTGAGGTCAGGAGCGTGGAGAGCAGTCCGGAGCCTCCTCCTGCGTCCTGAGCGTGAGCCGTGACACCCCCGTGAGCCTGCGACGTGGCACGTGCGAGCAAGCGTGCTCAAATGAGAAATGTGCCTTCCCGCATGCGATTTGCGAATCGAAATAGAGCGTAAACAAAGAAGAAAGAACCGCTCTGGACCTCGCTCTCTCTTACATGTTGTTGGACATGCTGTTACCCCTATAGCTCTAAGCTCACTGCACACTGGACAGGCCCCGTCACATCTCGCCGCACTGCGCAATCACAATCGGCAGCTTCGGCTTGCTGTTCGCGCCTGCAGCAACAAGGGCAAGATGCGGTAAGGTGCGCCTCTCCAATACATGAGGGGAAAGGGGGTGTAGGCAGCCCGCGCATCTCCGCACCCAGACGCGAGCTGGCACCGGCATTCAGAATGCCATGCCAGTTACACGTGGGCGAGCAAAGCGCGATAGGCAGAATGCGGAGGCAAGTGGGGAAGGGGGCGGCGGCGAGCAGGGGGGAGCGGCGGGGCGCAGAAGCGCGGGGGCGGGGGGCAGGGCGGGGGGGCGGAGCGGGCGGGGCGCGCCGACAGTGACGTTCTCGATCTTCCGCACGGTGAGCAGGCCGTCGAGGACCTGCGTGAAATCAGCCGAGATGGCTCCTCTCGGCTCCTCCTCGGCTCCTCTAGTGTCATCTCCTCATCTCGTGTCACCCCTGGCTCCTCTCGGCCAACCTCGTGTAAACTCGGCCCCGCTCGCCTTACCTCGTGCCATCTCGTGTCATCTCGTGCAATCTCGTGCAATCTCGGCCCCTCTCGCCTTGCCGAAGACGACGTGCTTGCCGTCAAGCCAGTCGCAAGCATCGCAGGTGACAAAGAACTGGCAGCCTGCGGGGACGCGTCTCGGACATGTCACGGACGTGCGCGGACATGTCACGGCCGCGGGCGGCGGAAGAACTGGCAGCCGTTCGTGTTCGGTCCGGAGTTTGCCTGGCAAAGGGGAGGGAGGGAGGGAGGGAGGTCATATCTCCCCATATCTCCCCATATCTTGCGCCATGGAGAGCAGCCGGCCTCGAGTGCTTGCGCGTCATATCTCCTCACATCTCCTCACATCTCCTCACATCCCCTCACGTCCCCTCACATCTCCTCATATCCCGCGCCATGGACAGCAGGCCCGGCCCGGTGTGCTTGAGAGTCAGGTCTTCGTCCTCGAACCTGCGGGCGGGGTAAGCAGGCGCGCCATCAATTCTGTAGTGCTGGGGGGAGGAGTGCTGCGGGGAGGAGTGCGGGGGGGAGGAGGAGCTTGCTCGCTGGCGGTCAAGGAGGCGGCCGAGGCGGGGGTGGAGAGAGGCGGCTGCAGGGAGGCGGCGGCGGGGGAGGAGGGGGCGGGCGAGGAGGAGAGCGAGGGCGGCCGCAGCGCTTGATCAATCGTCCTCGAAGCTGCGGGCGGTGCGCCGGCGCGGCGGTAGGGGAGATGTGGGGAGATATGGCTGCGAGGGGAGAGGCCGCCGTGGCTGACAAGGCGGAGTGGTAGTGTGGCTGACATTGGGCGGAGCGGTGGTGCGTGGTAGAGGGGTGGAGAGGCGCAGAGAAGACGGAGAGCGTGGAGTGAGGGTGGGGGTTGGGGTGGGGTGGGGGTGAGGGTGTCTCGACGGTCGCCCTATTAGAGAGAAACAGCCCGGGCTACGACGGCGGGGAGGACGTAGCTCGATGATGACGTGCGAACTCCGGTAAGTGCTAGTAGCCTCAACAAACCAAAGAAGATGAGGAGGGCGGAGGCGGAGGTGGCGGTTGTGGCGAGGGCGCGAT